GTATCACTTTCAAACACGTCAAAGAACTCTTTTGTACTCTTGCCATGAGTTCTTCTAGTTGGTTAGGCCATGGTTTCGTGCTCCCCGCTCGCTCCCCCAAAACAGTAACCGTTATAATGACAAACAAGGTCGGAAACATCTGAAATACCCTGTCGAGTATCTTGAACCAGTCTTCGCAAGTCGAAGCTTCTGAAAATAGTTGAACCACGTCAGCCAGGAAACATATTGGGTGATCGAGTGAGACTTTTTGCAAAGCCTGAAGCGCGATTTGTCGAAGTAGTTCTCGTTCATCAAAACCATTAAAAAATTCTGCTGAATCCGGAGACTGTAAAATGGCGACTGTTGGTTTCTTGCTGTCGAGATATTCCCAAAGTTCTGCGGCAAATCTCTCAAGACGATTGACCGATTCGTAGCAGCCTTGCATCTTCAACAGCGATGGCTGATCTGACCTCGCCCAGTCTAGGAGTTGTTGTGTCTCCCAAATATCGTTTGTATAAATGTCTTCTCCCATCAATTCGCAGACATCCTGAAAATCCAAGCATTGTTGCTTGATACGCATAGGGTCAAGTATAACTAATGGGACGCTGCATAAGGTCGGGATGCCCCAGAGACATAATCGTATAGTATGCGGTGGGCATGAGGATAACGTCACTTTCGCGGCAATCACTCCTGGGAGGGGTGAGTTAAAAGGGAATCGCAGAGGGTCAGATCCCACCTACCGGACAAGATTCCGCGTAACTGCTCGAGCTCAATACGATAGTTCCGATACGTCCACTGACGCATGAATATGCCAGGATTGGCAGACCCATTGTCTTGCCATATCACCTTCGGTGGGATTTCCAGCTGTCTTTGCACCTCATGCAACAGTCTGCGCAACTTTGTATCCATTATCAGGCATTGGTTACCTTGTAATTTCCAGACGCGCCAGTTAGTTCGGAAGACTGACACATCATCATGTATAAATCAGGCTGTGAAATTTTCAGCTCGAAACAGCTGCATGGCGTTGGCTCACCTACACAGGGATTCGATTGGATATTCCCTGCCGCTTAGTCAACTGTCTCATTTCACGTGCACCTGAGCGTACCCAAATTCAATTCAGGTGGCGTTGCTCTCATGACAAGCGATTGGCCACATTCTGTTTCTTTCAACCTACCCCGCCTAGTATCAAGCTCACTCGCAAGCAATATACCAAGATTACAACCTCTTAAACTCGCCCCCTTCAATCTCAGCTTCCCCTTTACTATGGATAAGCTTATAAAAGTTTAGTAGATTATTTTATCTTAAAGTTATTTCTGATTATAAGGTCTAACTTTAAAAGCAGAAGCTCAAGTATTTAACAATATTATAGTAAATAGTTTAATTTATCCAAAGACACTATAGTTATCGTCTTATAAGCTACTTTACTATAAGATTTTCTCCACCCATCTACTAAACCCCCCATCCCCCCTCCAACTCAAAGCTCTCCATACTGGTGGTTGTCGGCACCGCAGAATGTCTGAAGTCAGCCAGTCCCGAGCAGCCCTCGCTATCGTAAGGGTCAACTAGTTGATAGCTACTTATGCGACATAGTTCACAGTAAGTTGTCCGTTCTTGACGTCGTTACCGGGATCGACAGGAATGCTACCGCACTTAGAACATCCATGCTGTCTAAGCTGGTCGAGGAATGTGACAGACTGCTCCTTGGTAAAAGTTCGGCTGCCAATGTTCTGGTAGAAAGCACACAGGTTTCCAAATGCAAAGGGAATACAAGCAACATGTTCACCGTTACCAAAGTTTCCCTCCTCGCCAGCAGCAACAGCATCACGAACATCCTTCAGGTCGCCATTGGGTGTATGTCCGATACCTCCAACTCCACAAGTGGAGCTTCCACGGCAGTTGATACCAAGGCGTCTGACAAGGAGATTGTCGCCGCGCTTCTCGTAGGATACAGGACTTTCGGGCGCATCGCGCTTGGTAGGGTTTGTCTTTTCGCTGCGTTTCTCGTAGACAGCCGGGCTCTGACGTGTATCGCGGCTGGTAGGGTTTATGACAACGTTGACAGTCAGCTGCCCGTTAGCAACGTTGTTGCCCGGGTCAGTCGGGACGCTACCGCAAAGCTTGCAGCCATGATCGACGATCTGCTGAAGGAACGTTTGAGTCTGGGCAAGCGAAAAGCTGCGGTCTCCAATGTTCTGATAGAACGCACAAATGGCTGGATGATTGCCAATGTTGTTGATGTCAACGCAGCTAACGTGCTCGCCATTCCTGAAGGTCTTGTTGGGGTCGATGGCCCTGACCTGGGCAATGAGCTGGCCGAGAGCGCCTTTGTTGCCACTGCAAAGGCCACTGCCTCGGCAGTTGATGCCTAGAGCATCTGACAAGCCAACAGTGGCGGCAAGGGCAAGAAGGGCGCTTTTGAACATCATGATGAAGTTGTTAGAGACTGAATGAGACTCAAGTGGATTGTTGATAGTGTAGAAGGAATCTGAGTGCAAAGTGTGATGAGTTGTGATGCGAATACTGTGATAGAATGGCGGGAATGTGCTGCCTTTTATCTTCCAAATCCTAAAGTTGTTATACTCTCGCAATTGTGAGAACGTACAACATACATCGCTGAGAAGCAGAAGCGGCCGAAACATGCCTTGTTGAGCGTTTGACCCTGTACTGATCGACTGATGATAAATCAACATCTACTTACCCGAAGCAGATATTTTGATGAGAACGACGTATGAAGCGTAATATTCAACGTAATGAAATATACCGGATCGGCTTCTAAGTGGTAGATACACCCTAGTTTGACCAGTGCTGTGACGAGGCTTTCGCCCTGACCTCTCGAGAAGTCCACCAATCGTTAAGTCACCATGCCACGCGGGATCTCTCAGCGGGATCGACACAAACTCAGGACGCTGTCAGCGGGATCCACATATAGGCTGTCATCGGGGACTGCACTCAGGCCTTTTTTTCCGAGACATTTAACGTCATACATAGCATCTACCGTTAAGCAATCAGCTGAGAGCCCGCTAGTGCCAGCCCGTGTGACCCTGGTCAATTGTTTTTCAACCAGCGACGGCCCGTCACTAATGAGTCGCAATTGCCGAGCTCCGCGGCTGACGTAAGGCTCGTACCTACGAATCAGTACCTACAAATCAACCAAACCGGGTTCTTGTATAGCCAGCAATTCTACGTGACGTGTAAGAGTCGCTGCCTTGAGGGATCTTCTGTTACATCTTACTTCTCGGCGATTTGGGCTTATCGCTCTAAAAGGTCCGCACCATGTAGCCCAACGTACATAATGACTGTCTCATCGCTGGCCGGGGCATCTTTGAATTCTGTCAAGCTGGTGATATGAGTAGGTAGTCTGCCGACTTGAAACAACAAAGCAGTTGGGAAGCGAGGCAAGTAAAGCTTAAGGATCAGAAAGTTAACGGATGTCTCAGATTATTCGCTTTGACATCTAGTTGCCATCGCCAATTATGACCAGGCCAGCTCTCTGTTAAATAGTGCAATAAAACGGAGTAATTCACGCTCCATTTGAGGATGCCGGACTGGTCGGGCTTCTACTGGGAAATACTAATAGCGAACGACGTTATGCATTTAAAGTCGATTTAGGAGATGGTTTCTGGGGCAGAAAACAACTTATTGAGCCTGTACAGTTGTTTCAGAGTCTGATCCTCGCGCGGCTATATAGATATAGGTTCCCTCTTGCTGGCTATTAACTTGCTAATGCATAATAGTGGGATTTAGAGAAGTAGGACTGCTTAAGTTTCCAATCATTATTTAATCGATGTCACTGTAGTCTCGCCGATTGATACATTCGACTGAAGAATTAAACCAAGATATTGCTCTTATCTACTGACATCAGGACAGCATCTACGGCCAATATAGAACTCCTCATTCACTCTATATATCAGCCAATAATATATTGATGTCGCTTGTCCATCTCCCAGTCTACCCAAGTTCTTTCTCGTGTGAATGGAGTCTTATTAGCTAATTAAGCCAAAATTACAACCCCCTTCAACTAGCACAGTTCGATACTAGCTTCTGAGAAAACAGCATCCGGCTGACACTGTTAATCAAATACCCCCTTCGGTTAGGCAATGGAATTTAACATAAGCGAGGTAACCTACAGGTTCTAGCGACATCGGCGAAGTCTATCTTGGTTTTCCCTCTGTGCTACTCGCAATGGGTCCAGGTTTAATAGGAATAACGCGCATCCCGTTTTATTTCACACTGTTTCAAGCGTCGTTTCTAATGGTGTTACTATAAGTGCCATTGATGACGTACTGCCAGAGTCGCGTGGTCTTCTTCTATCAACTAATAACCACCATTTCGGAGACAACCGCGATGATGAGTCCGATTGAGGCTGGGGCCATGGATCGACAGTCTCGAGTGCATCAAAATTCACAACATTCATTCCAGCGCCACCCTGTAAGCACAAACTTCCACCGTCACTCACCAAGCCGATTCGGAAACACAAGCGCGGGAGCATGTCAGTAAATGTCGAGCCTCGTATCAACGTCAAATAAACCTTGCCTATCTCTAGGGCCGCGCAACTTATCCCATCTACAGCTGGTCATCAGCAAGCTATAGCTGCGGCGCGACAGCAGCTTTAACGACAAACTTTGCTATCCAACAGGAAGTGTGATGGTTAAGCTTAAGTCTAGACTTATTCGATAGCGCTAACGTGCTTCTCACGTGTGAACTTTTGACTGATTCGGCCTGTCAGGTTTAGGGGGCGTCAGCCACTGTCTCTGCCACTACACAAGCCGGTTAGGAAGTTCTAGGATATTCAAGCTCATTGGCGTGCGCAAGATGAAAGCTGAAAGCTGAAAATTGCTTGGCAAGCCTGTCATTCCATGCTTCAACGCAAGGGATGTGGAAGATGGACGGCAATTCGTTTGCTGTGTTCTTTTGTCTATAAAATCCAATCAAGCTCCCAGTCAAAAAGGGTTCTCAACATTCTCCTACATCCAGCAGCCCGCTCAGCAATCTCCATCCATATCTTCAACAATTTAGCAAATATGTCTGTGATCACCTATACCAACAATTACTCCCAAGTATTCCACCACAAAGGTCCGCCACCTACTGATCTGCCAAAACAGACAAGGCTTCTGACGCAAATGCAGGTGTTGACGTGAGCCCTGATGAGCACGCCGCGGCGAGAGTGCAAGAATACCGAGTGGCTACAGTCGAGGCATGCAAGCATGACCCGGATGTGGGCCATATTCAGTATGGTACGGTAACGGGTGATGGTGTTGGTAATCAGTGGGCCATTGTCTTTAATGAGGAGAAGTACAACATCATCGTTCATTATGATGATAAAACAAAGACGTTCGGGAAGAGGACGAGGAAGATTGGGTACACCTTGCAATTGACAGTTGTGCAGGAATGCAGGCCAATGTTAGGCAACGCTGGTGACAAGCCTCCTCGCCGTATTGGGGTTTCCTTGGTTTAAGAGAAACCGAATTCTTCACCGATGAGGGGTCACAGCTATTAGGTTACAGACGAAGCAACTGCCGTACTATAACTCAAGTAGTCAGAGCCGAATGTGATAAGCCTAAGTTCTCTCTGCTGATTTAAACTCTCAGCCACAAGTCTCAACTGCAAATAGCATATCGAATGTGACAAGTGTCAAGGTTCAGTGGCGCATTTTCTACTGTCCTCTTGGGTATGTGATTGATGTGCAAACTTGTAAGCTTTTTGTGGTTGATTAGCGCAATCACAATTTCTTATTAGTATTAATAATGGAAAATAAGCTTCTGTTTTTATTTTCACATCTTTCCTTCCTGCCTACCTTTAAAATCTTAAAGCCATATGTAACAGATACCCTTGCATACCCGCAGTCTAGCATATCGCGCAATCTGGGGAAGTCTAGATATATTCTGCATGGGTCTAGGGTAAAGCATTGTGTTGTGATCCTTGATCAGTTGTGACATAGTGAGGGATGCTAGGGTAGTATCTGGACAAAAGCTTTTCTGCTGACTGATTATTTGCCAGTAAACGATGGTAGGATCTGAAGGAAGCGGGGCGGCTAAAGTTCCTGGCCCCAATTTAATCGATGCCATGGTAGTTCTTCTATCCATTTCGCGTCGAGATGCTATTTATAGGCAGTAAATGAGTACGAGTCTAATAACTCGAGGCATTTACATCGCGCCAGTTTATTGTTATTGCTGGCCCATCTCCCAGTCTAGCCAGTCTCCTTTCTCAAAACAGCCCTAGTGCAGCCAAAGGATCACAATCCCTGCAAGGCAGAATCGACGTTTCCGTTTTGGTAAGTGATTCAATTTGGCTAGCGATTCGATAAAACCCCTGTCCATTCGAACTTTATCGTCATGACAGCGGCAGTTGGTCGTGGCTTGTTCTTCTCAGCCCTATCCCGATGACGACCTTGGCCAAGATCGACAGGTTGCCTCTTCCAAGTCCCGTGTATTTATAGCCCATTTACTACGACAACATCGCAGCATCCCATCATAGCATCTAGCAATTCTTCTCATTTTATTTCTCAATGGCAAACCAAGACGATCCTGCTCTTCCATACCGCGGAGCCCCTTTCCCCACGAAATGGCGCCGAAACCACCCACGGTCAAAGAATGGGTGTCTTCCGTGTCGCACTAAACGTAAGAAGTGTGATGAAGTCAAGCCAGTCTGCTCGTCGTGCACCCGGACCGGGCAAGAATGTGTTTGGCCCTCTCAGGAGAGCACTTCTCAAAGAGCTATTACGGAAGACGGCACTGCCAATGAGCCACTCAGAACCTCCGGCCCTTCCCCAGACTCAGCAGCCTTGCAGTCCAAGTCCCGTTCATCTTCTCCTCGGGCCGCGCCGACCTACGGCAACCTAGCTCATCTAAGCGATAACTCGCGTCCGCTCTATCAGCAGTACCTGGATGTCACAGCCGAAATGCTGACTCGAGGGCCCTGCTTAGATGGAAACCCCTTTATTCATTATCTTCTCCCATTGGCTGCGAATGATAAGCTGGTTCTTGATTGCATCCTAGCTATTGGAGGAGCTCATCTGACAGTCAATGACACGACGTCTACTATCCAAAGAGCCCGAGCTTTAGAAGTGGAGACTCGTGGACATTATGCGACTGTACTGTCGGGATTACAGAAGCTCTTATCTTATCAGACGGGTCAGATCGTCCTATCGACGGATGAACAGACAGGGCCACCTACCCCAATCCGCATCCTGCTGATTCTATTACTCCTCTGCGTCTACGATGTAAGATTTTCTCACATGAGAACGTCATGGGACTTGTTGCTAACAGCTACAAGCATGTTCAAGGTCATTCTCGTGGCTCCATGTATCATCATCTCAAAGCTTGTCGACAGTATATCAATCTCCTCACATCCGAACCCACGCCATCTAATGAATTGAAACACCTGAAAGGATTTATGCTGGAGCTCTATGCTTATCATGCAATCAAAATCACCATCACGCCTCGCAGCTTTCTATCTGATGAGGTCGTGGAAATTGACCCATCAGTCTATCCACTGGATATACTTAGAGGATACAAATCCAGAGGATTTCTACTTGGCTTTGGGCAGGGTCTGTGGGAGATGGTTCCCGAGATCTCTCAGATTGTCGAAGCTCGGCGGGAAGAAGAGAAGAGAGGCATTATAGCCACTACCGCATATCAAGAACAGTATGCTTCACTTTTATCGCGGCTAGAAGGCTACAATGCACTCGAAGAAGACACAAATGGCCTATGTTCTCACGAAGAGCAAGCTACAGCTGTGATGATATATCAACACGGTCTTATCGTATACTTGCAGTCAGCCTTCTACCCCGATATGCTCGCAGATCCGAACCTCGCCGCCGAAATCGACAATCGAGTAGAACAGACCATGTCAGCCTTTTATTCATTGTTTGTTAGCGAGTCGCCATATCGTCGAATGCTCCTCTGGCCGGGCACTATTACGGCCTCAGTCGCGAGACGTCAAGAGCATATTCATGTGTTCCGCGCTGGGTTCTTCGCTAGAGCTTCGCGTACACCCGGTGCGGTGAAGATGGGGGCAAAAATAGTCGAACTTCTTTGGAGTGATCCCGACCCTCGAGCCTTTGGTCCCAGAGGTGTGTCTTATATCATGACCAAGCATGATATTAGCTTGAGTTTATGCTAAGGGAATGTTGTTTTGAGCAGCTTATATATATGTACGATATGCTGGCATATCGGGTTTGTCTATATTATTAAGAGTTTCGATAAAGTTCTAAGTAATTATGTCTATCTACGAGTTCTAGTCTGGAAACTGGTAGATGGGACGTGGGTCTATGAGGGTGATATCAAGTGCCTCGTTGACCTGAGGACGATCTATACCGGAAGACACAATGTCTTTCTTGCCGCTTGCGAGGACTACCTACCCTTAACATCGCATCACGGTCCTCTCAGCTACAGAAATGTTTGTAATCCTAATGCTCTGGCTTATGTTGGAGAGATGTGCTGACCGGCGTTACCTTGACCTTACCAGGCATCCAGATTACCAACTCTATTGATGAGAAAGGAAATAGCTTAACAGAGAAGAGCCAAAAAGACTATTTGTACCAGCAGTATCAGAGAACTTTCAGAGCTATACAAGGCAAGGATTTGATTAGATAATCGTGACTGCTGCTGTGACGTGACGCTTACATCGCGAGCATTAACCGCGTCATAGTTTATGTACATTTTCCAAACCTTCCACACCATTTCGGTCTCCCTTATTGAGATAGCCAGCCACTATACCTTGCGGGTCCCATTTCTTCCTGATGTTCATGAGTCTCTTTCCTTGGTCCTGTCCCCAGAACGCGGTCGAGCGCTTCTGAAAATCGGCATCTCCAAGATACGACCCTTCCGAGTCCCTATTGATCTTTTCAAAGATATGGGTAAGCCAGGATTGACATTTGGGGTCCTCAGCCTGATCTTCCCAGACGACATAGGCCGCAAAGTAATGATCGGTCTGCATAGAGAGTGCCATATCTTCAATGGCGCCATCCTCGATACTGCGTCGAGAGCCGGGAGCCATCGCATACCAAAGGGTAAAAGACTTTTCTGTGGGGAGTGATGTGAAGGACTCTTTCAAGACCGAGACAACGTCTGCATCATTGCGGATATAAGAGTTGTCGACTGCATATCGATGACCCTCAGGGTTGGCAGAATGCTGATCGTCGTACTGCTCCGCCATGGAAGTTGGCTCGCAAAACCACGAGATTACGTGTCCTGGTGGTGCTGAGTCTTGAGCCGGCTGCAGCGCAGACCGTGCTTCTTCGTCACTGTTTTTAAAAGTGACAAAAGAGATCAAGATATGCTCTCCTTCACGGCCTGGAAAATGTCGGCCAACTGCAACTATCTCAGTGCCCTCGTCAAAGGTAGGAGCAAGCTATATATAGTCTTAGTGGATCTATCACCGGGGAGGAGGACATGATCGGAACTAACCTTGAGGACCCAAGAAAAAGCCGCTTCATAATCTTTCTTCTCGTATATATAGACCGATGATCTCATGTGGTTGAAGGCAGGAATTGTTTGGAGATAGAATCTCGTAACGACAGCCGGGAATCCTATACCATGAGAGAGAAAAGCGTGAGCTATATGTTAATTCCTCTCAGAAAGCAAAAGGCTGACCTGGACCTGATCCACGTGCCGCCCAGTATAATTCCGCGTTGGTTGTCTTATCGCAGTGTCGCTTCTCCCCATCAGCCGTCACCACGTCGAGAGCCACCAACCTCTCGCAAGCGAAACCCCAGTTCTTCAAGCACTTTGTCAGTAAAGATGCTATTGTCTTTCCTCAGTCACCTTACCTTGCAATTCCACCCCATCCCTCCTTGCAGAAGAAATCCTCCAAGAGCAACCTCTGGGCAATGGCCACCAGGGAACATGCGGCCACGTAAGCCCAGGAGCTTATTGACCATCCTCCCAGTCATGCTAGGTGATGCTTGCAGCACTCCGGTACTGTCGTCTAGAAGAAACTCGTGGTACTTGCCCAGGTCGATAAGAATGGCACCCTCTCGTACACTCCAGGCTGCCCAACTGTGACCACCAGAGCGTACTGAGACCCGGGCTCCCAGAGTGCGTGCGAGCCGCACAGCCTCTACGATATGATCCTCCCTGGTGGCCTCGACGACGGCAACAGGCTGGCTGGATGGTCGGCGGTGGTTGAAGACGCGGCCTACCCTGGCCCGTTCCCAACTCACATCACCTCGCCAGATGATGGGAAATGAAGGAGGCAGTTGAGATTTCGCCTGCGCAAGAGCATCGATTTGCGTCATGGTTGTTGGTCGGGTAGATTTGAGTTTGGTAGGGATGATAGTCTTGCTAATGTGGATGTGCTCTACTCTACGAATAACCGTCTTTCTTACGCGCCTTATACGACCAGAATTCAATCAACATGGTAGATAATTAGTCCAGATGCTTGCAGAGCCGAAGCTACTCCGCTCAAGTATGATCGGACTGCGGGGGCTCGGGGGATACTGGGACCACATTCCGA